CATCCAAACTGACTGGAAACAAGCTCAATTTGCCAGGGCTTGTAACAAGATAATTACTGATTTCTTCTATTTATGAAACAGTAAACTACTTCAGACAGACCTGGAACACTTGTAGAGATGAAAAGAAACTGTACATAAGGTAGAGATCAGAGTAAGAAGAAATGCATTGTATGTTATTTTAGGGTTGCACCAAGCATGTGGTTTGCTCTTTATCATATGAAGCAGGTTTGAAATCCTCTTGAGTTCAGGATTTTTATTTATTTATTTATTTTAATCAGCATAGCACTAGATTATTCTGTATCTATGTGAACTTCTTGTTTTGCCACCTCTAAGTACCCTTTTAATATTTGGACTCCGATTTAAGAATAGAGCCATTCTACCATAAATTCATGCTCTTATAGATAAGGAGAGCAACATGACGCCTGCCAGATACTTGGAAGTCAGACTGAAAATGAAAACACCTATTATTTTAGTGCTTTCCTATCATTCACAAGAAGAGAGGGAAAAGCTATGTAGGTGCCAGGAACTGTTAACAGAAGTTCAACTAAGATTTAAAAACAAACAAACAAAAAAAGCCCTCTTTCTTTTCTAGCAATTTATGCTATATTAGAGAGAAAATGAAGTAAATTTGATAGTTAATCTATATTCTCATCTATATTCTAATCTATAATCTATAGATTAGAATCCATATTCTAATCTATATTCTATGTATTCTAAACATATAAACATCACATCCAGCTTTTGATAAGGTTGTCTCTCACTTCCATGTTTTGTTTTTCCTACTAACCTTCAGAATAGCTGTATAACCTCATGTTGGAGATCCCCTTTATCCAATATCCTATCTCTGGCAAATGGGAGAAATAGTGTACTGATCGTTTACTGGAATCCCAAAGAGTATTTTGGGATCTCTCTCAAGAGCTAGAAATTGAAAAAAAAAAAGAATGCTCTTATTATTTTTAACTAAAATCAGGTCTCCATATTTTTTTTAAGTTTTCCTGGTTTGTTTTGCTTACAAAGTTTTCATCTTCTATTTTTGTTTAGACTTGAATAATTAAGCACATGGAACAGTCTTTGGCTCTTTCAGACCAACAGTATTCCTCTCATCATAAGTTCTAATTCCTCCATATTTGTGTGTCTTACCAAATATAAAATGAATTAACTTAAAAAGCAGGCTACCAGAACCATATATTCACTCAAACATCTTTGTTATTACTATATAACTTATAGCTTATATATTACTATATAAGAAGAAAAAGCAGTAAGAAGATGCTTTACCTCATGTAATATTGGTACGAGTTGCAAAAAAAGTTCATTTGGAAGTGGTAGAGGCTTATGTTTGTTTGTGGAAAAGACAGACTGGTATTACAGTGTCTATTTATGAGATCGATTGCAGGGGGTAGAAACCCATGGAGCTGGCTTACAAAAAGAGATAGCAATTGATGGAGATTCTCGTGGGGAAAGAAACTTAAATGAGAATTTATCACAAAGTTCTTCCTGTCCCAATGGAGAGTTAAAGAAGGACAAGAACTTCAGAGGAAAAGTGAAAAATGATGAATGTAGAGTTTTTCAAAGGGGAAGGAAAAGCACAAAGTGGTATAACAGACATATTCTCACATTGCTTTGATACTTCTGTGCTGTTCTGGAAAACAGTGATGGCTGCAAGCTGTAGAATAATAATTAAAAACAAATCATGAGTTATCAGATATATACATCGGATAAATGGTTGATTAAAGACAAGAACAGAATGAAGCTGCCTGTATTTGTAGAAATGCATGATCCTCCTCTTGTTGCTTATCTAATTTGAGTTCTTCAGGAAAACTATGCTCTCTCAGCTGATACTATGTTATTTGACCACCAACTGCACTGGTCATAGTGCAAATACATGAAGAAGTTAGTTGAAGTGCTGAAATCAGAAGATATGCTGGAAAAACTGCATTTGTAAAAATGCATTTTGGCCTTTCCAAACTTAAGCTTTTTAGAGCAGTTGTCTTAGCCTACTGAATATTTACTTTGAAATTTTACTTTGATGAAGTTACAAAGAAGGAATCTATTTTACACATTTGTCATTAATTCCAACTTAAGAACACCACCTTAAATAGACTCATGTCTAAATTCAGCATGAAACTTTTCTTGTAAATTATGGTATTATACTGTAGATTTCTAGGTATTATCCATTATAACCTCCCTATTTTAGGATCTTTAAATCAGCTGGAGAGTCTAAAGGGATCTAGCCCTAACAATTCTGTCAGTGCCGTTATACTTATTTGCTGGGATTTATCCCTTTCTCGTCCAATGGTTTTTCTATGACACTACATTTTTTTTGTTTGTTTTTCTTCTATGTATATTAGTCTCTGAAAGCAGCTATACTTCAGAAGAAATTGTTGTATGTAACAGGTTGGAATTCTACCATGCTACTAAACAATATACTGACTACTGGTATTGCTTGCTCCTTTGGCACAGGCTAGATGATTTCCACATTCATTAATTATTAAGCATCTTCTATACACATCCTTCTCTGCCTGATTCCAAATCACAGAAGGATTAAGGTGAGAAGGGACCTCTAGAGATCAGTTAGTCCAAAACCCCTTTTCAAGCAGGGTTACCTACAGCACATTGCACAGCATTGTATCCAAGTGGGTTTTGAATATCTCCAGAGAAGGAGACTGCACATCCTCTCTGAACAACCTACTCTAGTGCTCTGTCACCCTAACAAGCAACAACTTTTTCCTCAAATTCAGGCAGAACTTCCTGTGCTTCAGTTTATGGCCATTGCCTATTATCTTATCACTGTCACTGAAAACAATGCAGCCCCCCCATATTATTAATTTCAGAGTCCGCATAAGATTTGTATTTTACTGTGGTGCAGGAGGGAGAAATGCAGCCAGGGCCAAAGGGGAGCATAAATTATTAGCTTTCTCCAGTTCATACTGTCCTCTCTTACCACTCTCTGTGGTTCAGGAAATTTATTTTATCTTCCTTTAATCACCTTCCTTGATTTTGCTGGTAAACAAGAGGAATGAAGATAAAAGACAAAATAAACAAACATAAGGTCATGCCTCGTATACTACATCTAGGATAAAATAAACATGAAAGCTTGATTGAAGTTACTCATTAAAATACTGCTGTTGCTGGAAGAGGTTGAGGGGTAGCTCATTTGAGTGTGATGTGGGAGACTTGAGGTCAGCTGGTGGACTGAATTCTCTCCAAGGTCATGCAGATTTAGACCTCTGTTTATTGGAGGAAGAATCTTCCTTGACATCTTCATTACAGAAGACCAGGCAATGTTAACTGAACACACAGCCAGAGATAAAGATAGAAATTTGCAACACAAAGTCTCTTAAAGAAGAAAAAGAAATAAAAAGTTCTGGCTAGTCTGTACGCAAAAAAAATCCAATATAGCTAAGGCTAAAAAAAAAAAAAAAAATTTTGTTTTGTTTTTTTTTTTTGACAGCAGCATTTTTTATGGTGCACAGTGATAAATGCTATACAATGATTTTGCAATAACTCTATAGCAATATTGTATTTAGTGGAAAACATCATCACTACCAGTGAAAGGGTGGGAAGCAAATAATTTAATCCTCCTTCTTCCCTTTCCTATTTTTCACATAGTACAACTGATACATGTCCCAACTAAAGGTTGCTTTGGAACTTATTTTATTACTATCTTTCTAACCATTGTGTGATCCAGGCAGTTAAGGCACCTTTCTCTGCTTTTCACATCTACTTTCTTGAAGCTGATTTATTCTCTGTGGTTATGTTGGAAAATAATTGATCTTTATTAATGTATAGAAAGACAGGTGAGTTTTTATTACACATTTTTCTCTGCAAAACTGTATCAGATGTGTTGCTCTCTTCTAGCATACACATGTAAAGAACAGTTAACAGTTCTAAACTTCGGGGGAAATTGAGAATCCTGATGATGATTAAAATGTTACCATACTATGTTTCATAATGCTGTACACATTATCATGGCTATTACCATAATGGAAATAGCTGAGCTTTTACTAATATCTTGTTTTTTCTTCTTAATATGAAGGTTTTCTATATGCTTGGGGGAAAAAAAAAAAAAAAAAAAAGCCATTTTAAACAGTAATGGGAAGCAAGTGCTGTCATTACACTTCTACTGTGAAAATAGCTGTGTGCTGTCCTGACTGAATAATTTCTATTGAATATCATTGTGTAGACAGGTAAATCTCAGTTACTACATGAGTTGAAGAAATGTCTGGTTATTAGAGCATCTTCTTGCTATAAAAGAAATATATTAAATACGCAAAGCAACATACAATTTAAGATAGCAAGGATAGTCAGAAAAAGTACACTAGCAAATGGGCAACCTGTTGAACATGTTATATTTTAATTTGCAGAGACAAAAATGACAAGCAATTTATTTACATAAAACTGTACAAAAGCAAATTAAATTATGTAAATATTTCATAAATAGAGGTGGACTAGCATTTAATACATTTTGCCATGTTTAGCATAGTTGCGTGCATAGTGACTCATAATAAACAATGATAAATTGTTCTCTGCTTCACTATCAACATCCAAGTTGCAGAACAATAGTCAATGATTAATATTACAAACAGATCGTACCACACTGAATGCAAGTGCTTTAAAATTTAGGAAGATGTCTGAAAGCATACCCCAGGTAGCTAGAAAATAAAACTTTCTTCCATGTATTTATGCTCTTCCATCAAGGAAACACTGTGTATTTATTCATCACCAAAGAAACATACTGAAAATTATCTTGTTATTCAAGCTCCTTAAAAGTCTTTAGTAATGTCTGTACTTGTGGCAGATTCATTTAGCCTTACTCTTTATTTTCTTACTTGACAGCTTCCTAGGGTAGCCTTTCAGCCCATCGTTTCAAACCCATTTAAGTTCTTCCCCCACGTAAAAAATAATGTTTGACTTTTTTTTTTCTTTTTTTTTTTTTTTTTTTTTTTTCCTGAAACTCAGGCAGCAGGCCAGTCAGAAACCATATTGAATAAGCATAGTGGATCAGAGATCCCGAATGAGCATTAGATTTTTAGACCAAAGCTATTGAGTTTTCTAATACATATAAAGTTATATATTAACGCTTCAATCTATAAAAGTGTCCTAATGTAAAATACATGCAAAGCTCATTTGAGTTTCCCATGGAAGGAAATAAAAGGATGATTCCTATTCTGTACAACCAAAATGTAATGGCAGCTAAAAGCAATTAATAATAAAAAAAAAGTCCATTTTCCTGGCAACATGAACTGATGACACCTTGCTAAACAACTATAATATAGACTGATCATAGTTTTCCAGGCAGCAGAATTAAAAACAAATGAAAACAACCCCAAACCCCACACAAATATTAAAAAAAAAAAAACAAAAAAACCCTTCTCGAGATGTACTTAAACCACAGCCTTGTGTTAATAATGCTTAAGACTGGTCCATTAACTGAGTTTGGCAAAAGGCTTGTTTTTAAATATATTATTTATAATTTCTCAGAAAATAAACACAGGTAAATATACAGGTTCAAAAAAGTTGGGAATAGCCCCTTGTCCCTCAGTGTCCAAACCCAACTACCACATTACCATAATAACAGGTATAAAAGGCACAGTTGCATATTTTGCATTCACCCTAATTATTTTTATAGTTTTATTTTTTATATAAAAGCACTCTGTTTATGGAGTGGCACCAGATTTTAACCTATTTCAAATTAAAAAAAAAAAAAAAAAAAACCACAAAATATATTTGTGTCATGCCAGGTCAGAAGAGTAATCAGCATGTTAACAGTGGCTAGTTCTACTAGAATTACTGTGAATACTTACAGTACACAGATTCTTTTAAAATTTTCACACCCATTTTAGTTCTAAGGAGATGCGCACAAGTAAAGTACTTAATGGCATGACTGTCTTATGTGGTGCAAAAATTGGTGAGTGACTGCTGATCCATTTAATCTGAAGGTCTTCTATGACCCATATTATTAGCTTTGTAGAAAAAGGGTTTAACAATATATTGAAACAAGCTATCTAATGTTCTTTTTTTGTGTTTATTTTTTAAGTAAAACAAATTCTTACTAAAGAAAAAAAAAATCTGTTGAACATTTGTGTTATGCAATTGTGTATTCTGTTGAAACGTGCAAGAAAAATGTTTATACATTACATAAGCATTTTAGAAGCATTTTTAACAGGTACTTACAGATTATACAAAGCAGTAACTGCTCTATGCAGTCCCATAACAAAGTACTAGTTTGCATCTCTCCATTTTATTTGAGTAATTAAACATAAAAAAAGTTCAATCATTGTTTATCTTTGATTTAATATTTTCTTTCTAAAATGTGCCCATTCCTCATAACTGCTATACACAAACTAGTGCTACATGAAGAAAATAAACTTTAGCGAGGAGAATGGAATGGCCAAAAAAGGCCATACCCCACTATACTGAGGAGAAGTCAAAAGACAAATGTGATGAGCTGTATTGATTTTAGCAACCTCTACTTAGGCCATTTAAGATTTATACTCTATGTAATTCTTCAAAGCAAGAAACTACCCAAAGCTACATCATGACTAAAATATACTAGAGAGCCATCTAGCCATGCCTTACTTAACATCAGGTTAAACATCCAGGGTTTTGAATGCTTTCCCCCTTCTCAAGCTGCCCTTGCTGTGTTGTCCGATTGTCAGATTCATCTGAATGTCTGAGCGCAGTTTTAATTATTACTACATTGTCAGCTTACTAGCTGAAGTTCTGCACACTTTGTTGCTTTTATTGCACAAAAACCTGTTTTATTTCCTGTTCCGCTCAAGAAGTGCTCACCATGAGAACTGTTACAGCCCAGAGCTCTTGCATATCATGGTCACTTGCTTTCTTTTTGACTCGTCTTGACCCACTGCTGTGCAAGTATCATATCACTGATTATTAGACCATTTTCTACCTGCCCTATGCGTTGAGTCTTGACATTGGTTAGTATTGCACTTCACTCGGCTTTAATGCACTTGTGTTTCAAGAAAACCTGCATCATATCTTTGATACAACTGAAGCAATTGGTAAGCTGCAACACTGATGATGAAAGACTTAGCAAGCATTCCTTGCATTCTGAAAAAAAGGCATCATAGTTGACTTGTAATATGCTCTTGTTACTGCTTCATACCATCCTCCACACTCTCTTTCCCAGTCTCATTAACACAGCCTTCTATTACTATTTTTAAATTTTGATTGTAAAAATTCCCTGGAACTGGCAGTATCATATCATATGCAGCATCTGCTGCACCATATCGTGTCCTTCCGAAAAAAATCAAATCCATTCCTTTGGGCATTCAACTCTAAATGTATTGGAAAAAATAGCACGTCACCTGGGCAAAATGTGTGGCATGTTATGTGTACATATGTATATTTGTGAATATATTAGTCTTCTAAGCCAAGCCCCCATACTCAGCAGTTCCCCTGATCCATAGTATGATCTTTGGCCTTTTTGTTATTACGGTCTTCCCAGCTAGATGTTGGTCTTGTCCAAAATATTGAGTTCAACAGTTTGTCATTACTATGCTACTGTCTATGTGTTACTAATTGTGTTTACATTGAAGTAATTATTACAGAGAACGAGAGAGGAGGAGAGAAAGAGACACAGCAAGAACATGGTTGTTCTATGGATAAAACAGAACCAGAGTTCAAGATTCAGCAGAAAGTATGCCATTGCCTGGACGGCAGTCTCAGGATGAATGTTATTTCTGTTGCTTCCAGCCTCAGATGAGAAGTGAGAATATTAAAGCTGTGGTCTTCACAAAGTGCCTATTAATAGTTATTCCTTTGTATTTACCTCTATAACTGTATGGTTTCTGAAGGATTGCCCCTAGTGGGGATCAGCAATATTCAGATGATATGTTTTTAATATATTTTCCCTGACCTGTTATCCTCAACAAGCCAGATGACAATCAAAGAAAATGAGTGGCTTGACTCATGCTTCTGCAGAGGGGTAACAACTGTGTGTTGTGTTCTTTTTAATTAAGCTTGTTACTATGGGAGGAATTTGCAACCATAAATTTAGGAAAATAAAAATCAGTGAGGGAGAATTAGACATGCAACAATAATGGTTTCTACATTGTACAGTATAGTCAGGCAGACAGTATAGTTAAATGCCTGCATATGGAGGCAGAAATAGCAGGCAGAGCTTTTGTCTCTTTGGTAGCCCCCTCTTTTTTTGTTTGTTATTTTTAGGTAAAGTTGTTCTCCTTTTAAGACTTTTGCCCCTTTTTCTTCTTATAACGTGAAAGAATTTTGTTGTTGCTTTTTAGCCTACAGGTAAACTTCTCTTCTAGTTAAAGTATTGACAGGAGATGGCTTGTAGTCCCCTGTCTGTGTAAGGGGGATATCCTCTGGATTGCCTTCTTCATTTTTGCTGAAACTAGCCGCGCTGAAGGTCTCATAGGATGAGGTTAACTTTTTGTTTAGGAGGTTTCTGTTGCGGTCACCCATGAGGGAGGCTTCTCCATTGGCCAGCTTTTCTTGACTGCCTCGTTCATCAACTGGCATGAAAGTGGAGAGTTTTGGCTGGCTCTTCTGCTTCCTTTCTGGAGAAGTGCGAACTGGCATCCAGCAGGAGTCCGAGTGGCCATACTCATCACACTCTCGGGTACACTTCCCTGTCAGGGCTACATCTGGTAGAGGTCGTGAATCTGAAAATAAAATAGAGTTGTCTTTACAAATAAATAATACTGCAATCACTTCTGATGAAGCTGACAATCTTTAAATTCATAAAAGGTACTTTAAATGCTTTGGTAGGAAACTTGTAACGTGTTTCTGATGCGTGTATTTTATATTGCATGTGCCCATAGGCAACAAGTATATTTGTGCTATTATCTTCAACTTCAAGCATTAGAAATAAGAATATTAAGTGACTTGATAAGCTTTAAGTCAATTTCAATAAAGTAAAATTTTATTTGGCATCAGTTTATAAATGAATTTTGATGTCTAAAATGGCCAAACATTTAATGCCACCAATTTTATTGCAAATATTAACAATACCTTTCTCTGAATTCTTTCAAAAGAATGTTTTGATGTTACATGAAAAGAATCTAATGTCTTAGTTTCTGCAGATGCTTATGAACATGATTAATGCCATGCACATGACCAGCTGTGTTCCTGACAATATGCTCCACTTGCCCATGTTGTAAGCCTGCGCCTTTTGGGTTTTGTCCATACTCTACCTGTTACGTGAATGCCACATTCAACAATTCATTGGAGCAAACAGTAACAACACTATCTGTTGTAAATATAAGCTTGTATGTAGAGATAAAACTGGTGTTTGTGCACGTGTGTGTAGGGAGGAAAATCTGATTGCTATCTAAATACTTTTATATGTAATGTGTTGAAAGGAGTTCTGCTCTAAATGATTGTATTTGAATTTTCTTACTACTGAATATGTACCAATCTTCACTCAAAACTAGCAAGGTTTAGAGGACTGTGGGATTGATTCTTACATTCTCAAACACAAATGGCTTTTAATATTTATATTTTGATACTCACAATACAGAATTAGCTACCATGTCTGTTTTAAGGACTAGGACAGATTATTAAATCCTTGCTTTTATTAAGTTATGCTGTATTTTATAGTTTGCAAAAAATAACTGGATTTACCAACAAAATAACATTGATATTCTGAAAAATGTGACTGAAAATAAAATGTCTAGCTACATTTAATTTTCCAGGTTTTTTGATATGACTTCCATATACCAGGACTTATTTGATATAATTCAGGCTTCTAGTTATTGAAAAACAAATATCCTCAAAATTAGTAAGGAGGCTCTACCTGGAAATAAAAATTCTTTCTGACCTTTCCTAAATCAGATTTTTCAGAAAGACTCTGCCCACTTTCTTTTTCCCCCACAGCTCAGGTACACTGCCATTTTATCTGTAATAAAGTATGAATGAAAAATATTTTTTAAAGTTTATTAATTTGCACTATCTTACACTTTGCCAATTTTTTTCTTTACTTTGGGTTACCATATGACATCCTCAAAAAGTGACAATATCAACTGTGAAATTTTTATAAATTTATAGCTTATTGAAGTAGCAAAAATAACTATTCTCGTGCCTTAAAAAAAAACTTTTTTTGTTTCTTCAAGAAACACTGGTTTAGTTGAAAAGTATTTACCATGACTATTTGCAGAGAAAGCATGTTTTATTTCAGTGTCTGTAAATTTAATCCTGATTAGCGTGACTGCTCTTGCAGTTCTATTTCATTCTAACTTTTCAGTAAAACATTCATTTAATTAGCAATTTGCTGAAATGTTGCAAAACTATGTTTATTATTTTTATAATAAAAATAAAAATATATTTAATTAAAATATTTATTGTTAGCAACTGTCAACATTTTTATAGAATCCAGAATAAGGATTTTGAAAACTGTATTATATTTCATATTTCAATATGTCACTAACTTCAATAAGGAAAAGAACACTGACTTTTAGATAACTGAGTAATTCCCTGTATCTGAGATTATAAGGCTGATGGGAGAGGCTTGAGTGTTTTTTACTTATTTATTTATTTACTTATTTATTTATTTATTTATTTTTCTTTCAGTTGTACCTCTTAGGAGTATAGCACTTAGACACAGGTAGGACTATCACATTCAATGAAGAATACAAAGAACGTGGACAGCTGTCAGCCTATCAATTGTCAATATATTTTCTGGAGATACAAGCAAAAGGCAGGAATATTCTCTGTCAGCTACATCTAGTATTATTCTTACACTCCCTAAAGGTAAGAAGCCTGGATAATTAACAGCTGAGTTGCACCTCATGTGCTTTGATTTTTAAAAAGGAAAATCCTCTTACTATTTTTTAAACAGGGCAAAACTCCCTTCCCATCTAAATCTTAATAAGCTCTTCAATCAGTTCCTTAATTAATTTCCAAACAATGATCATTAAATATAATGTTTACTACTAATATTTGAATTATTATTCTGGCAGCATATTGCAAACACTTATCACGGTAATACATTTGATATTTACTTAGAAGATAAACAGCAATGAATATGTGTTTACTGAAAAGGCTTTTGAGGGTTGTTTGTTTAGTATCTTTTTCTTGTTATTTTTTTCTTTTTTAAGATTGAAACACTTAATGTCTTCTATTATGTTTGATGGTTTCCTTTTAGTGCAAACAGGGCGTAAGCAAGTATCACTTTGATAAAAATCTTTCCCATAATTCACTGAATCATGTCCTTGAAAATCTACCATTTTGTATTGCAAAATATCTAACTTGCCTTTTAGACAAATGTAGACACTGTAAATCATGAGTTCTGTTGGACAATCCAATGCTATAGGGACATATAATGAAGGGACAACATCCAAGTTGCTGTTTGGCCAACTCTCTCATTAGTATGAGAAACACAGAGTTAGTGTAGCCTTATTCGATGTTGCACTCTTGTATCTGTCCTAATAGCTGAAACAAGGCAGAAATGAAGCTCACCTTTAAGTGGAGGTGCTTTTAAAGCCCTGTTGCATTTAGCTGCTCTGTTGTTTAGAAAGTGAAGGTAACTTCAGTAACTGTGGGAGGGAGAAGGATGGAGTCTTGAGCCTGCCATGGTGTCCATGTAGCATGGCCATGGCTACACTATGGTACCTAACCTAGGCAGTCAGCTCAGGTATCTTGAATAATAGAATTTTTCCCTTCATTCTCAATAATCCCCCACCTAACTTTAGTTACAAAGTAATAAAATCCTGCTATCCCTATGTGCCTGTGCAGACTGATCCTTTAGTGCAGGGTAAGGACCTTATCCTCCTACTCTTACATGATCCAACTGGTAAAGGTATGAACAGTATTTGGAAAAGAAGCTACTTTTCTCTTCCAGCATAATTCACATCCAACCCTATCTAAGTGACATCCTTTTAAAGTACTCATCATTTTTGAAGTTAAACACTTCAGTAGAGACCACCCTGCTAGCTGACAGGCCTAATGGAACACAGCAGAGAGAACCACCACCATCAGTAAATCATCAAGAAAGACTACAGCAGATTTCTACCGCACTTACATATCTGTAAACTGACTCACGTAAGTGCTTTAAAATTTGTTCTTATTTACTGACAGTTATCACAGTGTTAACTGGTTAGAAGGACGATAGATATTGTTATACAGAAATGTGTATTTTTTTTAGTTTAATTTTTACTGTTTATACATACATAGAAGAATATAGACTACTCCAGTATTAGCCTTTTTTTTTTTTTTTTTTTTTTAAGAAGATTATCTCCAGTGTTATGGTGGAGGTTGTTTTTCTGAAATATTTCCTCTTATGGCATCTCCCTTTAAGTATTGCTTGCCTTCCTACAAAGTCATAGAAAACTGAGTCCGTACAAAATTGATATAGAGGCATGTTTTAGGGCTTACATGTAAAATGACAACTTTAAAAGTAAATATTGTAGAGATGAGATTTCACTTGCCACTGCTGAGGCCTCAGCTTCAAAGATCTGGGGACCGCTCACTTGCAGATTTAAAGAGGTGGACCGCAAACTCCTGTCTTACTATATATATTTTATATATATATATAAACATCTATCATTAATTCAACAAATCTTTAGGCATTTATTCACTGATATGTGTGCTAACCTATGTTTTTCACAAATGTATCTAAGGAAGCATGAAAATGAACATGGCTGTTTGTATATTTATGCTTCTATTGATTGTGTCTGGCTGGTGCTTTCGGGGTGGAAGGGATTGCTTGTTATCAAGTAAACAAGGCACTTAAGTGGGGGGAAGGGAAATGAAGTTCATATCCAGTTTAAGGACCAAAATGTAACCACCAAAACATTTCCCTCAAGCAATTTTCTACCCTCCTCTCTCCTTCCACTCCTTATCAAAACAGTCAATATCTTTCAGTAAATGTAGAGAATATACTATGAACACAATAGTCAGTGAATCCACGATTTAAATTATATGGTCTCAATATTTGTATTTACTGCAAAAAATATCATCTATAATGCACATTCACTCTGCCTCCATACTGTAAATAGACCTTTCCTGCCTAATATATTACATATAAACCCAGTCTTAGCAATTAGTCCTGATACAATCCCAGAATAAGCACGATGTTGGAGGAAGTTGCAAGGGCCTCTTCTTCATTTTCTCATCTCCCAAAGCCTAAGGCAGTGATAGACTAGAGTTAAGAATTCAAGTGCTCCATTCTATGTGCTAGTCCCTAGGAGATGTAAAACACTCCAGAGCAATGCTGAATCACTCTCTAGATATAAGAATTTGAATATTCCCAGGTGGAACTGTGCCCCAAGAACCTTCCACCTGTACAACTCTCCTATGACTGCATAGTCATGCTGTACTATACCAATACTTTCGTGAACAACACAGTTTGGTCTGTGTGATCTGAGAAGTCTTTGGCAGATGCAGCTTTGAATAGTATCTATGACAAATACAACGACTACACACAGACTTTGCAGCCTGTACCCAGCGAAGGGCAGTAACATCCCTGCATGATTCCAGATACTGAGAACCTATAAGGAGGTCTCTGCAGTAGTTCCAGAATACCATGAGAAACAAGCAAAGCAAACAAACAAGAGAGCTACTGTCTTAGGGTAACAATAAGAACTATGTGTTTGGATGAAAACTATGCTAAGCCACTTTTCACTCCACCTTTTCCTGTACCCCTGTATTCAAATATACTACATTC